AAAAAAAATTGATCTTTTTTTCTCGTCCAGGGACCATGACGAATCTTGAGAGCAGCTTGACTCCGGTTGAGTGCGAACCCGATTAAGGTATTATTCTGTAGGTCAGGAGTACGTTTAACCAATCGTGGCCACTTTCCAACTAACACTTTTCACTATGGCATGGAGTTACCGCAAATAACGTTATTTTTCATATCTTGTGGTCGTTTTACTTCCATTCTTATTATATATATATATATATATATATATATATATATATATTATATATATATATATATATATATATATATATATATATATATATAAAATTGAAACGTTTATTAAAACGAAAATTAATATTAAAAAGCCTACCTTACTGACAGATTCTTCAAAGTCAATCATAACAATGCTTTCTCATCTCTTTTTTCTCAGTTTGCTGGTGTTCCTCAAGGTAGTATCCTAGGTCCTATCCTTTATACAGTTTATACAGCTGACATCCCAACCCATTCCAACACTGTCATCACCACATATGCCGATGACACATGAATCCTATCAGTCAATAACGATCCATCTATTGCATCCAAAACTCTTCAATCACACATCACAAGTCTTGAAAAATGGTGTCAAAACTGGAGGATTAAAATAAACTCCAATAAATCCCATCAAATTACCTTTACTCGTCGTCGTAAACCTATGACTTCCTGTCTTACAGTATCCTTTAACAATACCCCACTTATCCCTGTTGACCAAATCCGATACCTAGGACTCCACCTTGACAAACGACTCACTTGGAACCCCCATACCAGACTGAAACGATTAGAAACCGCCCGACGTTTCCGACTACTCCAGCACTTACTAGACAAACGCTCTAAACTGCCAACTATTTACAAAAGACTCATATATATTACTATAATAAGGCCTATTTGGACTTACGGGATCGAGCTTTGGGGCTCTACTAAACCATCAAATTCCTCTCGTATCCAATCCCTACAATCCAAAATCCTTCGTAAAATCCTTAATGCTCCCTACTTTGTCACAAATAAAATCATCCATAATGACCTTAATGTACCACATGTTTCCGATTTAGCTCAATCCAGATACCTGTCCTTTCATAATAAACTTCTGAACCATCCGAACCCTCTCGTTTCCAACCCTGCTTCCTCTTCTATTCCTGATAACCCTCCGAGGCGTCTAAACAGGAGATGGCCTCGGGACCTTCTAATATAGAAATATAATTGGAGTGCTACCAATGGGTAGTTTCTCCTCTTGTTGTACATGTCATATTACTTGTTCATATTTACTTGTTGTATTTATTATTAATTACAGTTGTAAATTTCGTTAATAAAAAAATATTAAAAAGAAAAGGATATTTGTGTTCTCATTAATTTGCACTTTCTTTTATTCTCCACGTTCCAAATTTCAAGCTTCCTTGACGACAATTGGGAGTACATGTTGGGAGTTAAACAAAAATTACATATTTTAAAATTTATTGATGTTTCCGGAACACCGTGTTTGACTATAAATATGCTAAATATAAATACACATGCAACTATTTCGCCTTTCACTTATGTATGCAAGTTTTGTTTTTTCGACTTGCCGATAGGCGGGTATATTGGGCACTATTTAATAAATTATAACAATACTGTAGTTTTGACCTTTCTTTCTTAATTATGTTCTCCTCACTTCTTCAGTGTAGGTTTCATTTAGCTCGCAGCTTCTCTTAATTTATAGTGTTTTTATATGGACCTTTCGGGGATACTGTATACCCCCTCCTGAGGATATAGTTTGGTCCTGTATTGGATTAGCCTTAGAATACGCTTAATGAATAAATAAGTTACTACTGAACATTTATTAAAAAAAAAATAATTAAAACTTCTGTAGATTTTGTCTAGAAAAACTATATAAAAATGACGTCTACCCATCCTTATATTATTATGTTATTAAATAATGTTTTTTTTTTTTCAAAATGGTGTTACTTTATATTTTTTTAAATATACTTTCACTGAAGATACTGTATATATTCTTTGATATTGATTAATGTAATTTTCGGCCAGATGAGGTTTTTATTTTTTTGTTCATAATTGTTATTCATAAGGGACCTCATCCCAGAATAAAGTTTATTTTCTCTCCAAAAAAAAAAAATACTGTATTTTATTGTTAACTACTCAATCAACAAATTATAATTAATTCATTTAAGATAAATTATAACTCTAATCTAAGGACAAATAACTGTTTATTCCTCACTTTATGTAACTTTTTTTTAAAGATCTTAAGTAAACAAAAGCTATTTTTCAAATTTTCCATAAACCTATAACTGTATTACCGAAAAATTCCTTGAAACTTTTATTTTAAAACGTTTGCTGAAATTATTAAAATAAAACTTTTTAAAAAGGTTCCATAAAAATGTCAATACCTAATTAAATTGGAACGAAGGACAAGAAGTTAGGAGAAATAAATAACAGTATTTATAATAATAAGGTCTACCTAACCCAAAAGTTCTATGCCGATAAACTAACAATATTTTTCTGTATTCAAAATATTATGTCAAAACTAACATAATACTCGCTTCTGCGCTTCAATCCATCCCTTGGTCATTTTCCAGCCGGTTTCGAACGATTAACTTAAAATGGTTCTTTTGTGATTTTTTTTTTATAACTTTACACATTCAGGCATCCTGGATCTATCAAACACATCCATTATATTTAATTGATGCATGTCGCGCAATTCCACTTTTTGTAATAATCTTTAGTTCCCTAGTCCACTTATTTTTTTCGAAAACCGTTAAGAGTAATTTTTCTTAAGTATGGTCATTTTTGATCTATTTGAAGAAGATTGGGGAGCATAAATTAGTTGTTGTTATTTAGGGCTTAGAGGCGGGGTCATCAACGCCGATATAATCTTAATTTTACTAATAAATTATTTTGGAGAAAAAAAATCGCAAATTTAAATTTGTGTTAGTAAATCATTAGCTTTAAGAAAATTTATCACCGACGTAACTTAAACTTCATCATTCTTTAAAACAACTGATAATTTTGGTACGAGCCCTAATATGGTTAGAATTTGATATTTACATGTTAGTTTTCTTAACTGTTATATTCAAATTTTGTGAAATGGGCCTGAAACTGTGTAATTAGGTAAAATGTAATTTCTCGCATTTAAATTTTCTTTTATATATTTTTGAAATTAGACTCAGGAAATTATTTTTTTCTTACTTTCATGTATTCATTAAGTACTCCAAAAATAATGAATATTTTGTATAGATTTTTTGAAACGAACTTATTCAAACAAATTTATTAATGTTATTTAATCTGCGAAATCTCAACATTATTCCTTCCTTGAATATTTGTATTCAAGTGTGAAGTAAGTAGCATTCATAGCATGTAGTAATCGTATGATTTTTCTGCTTTTGTTAACTCAAGACTGTGAAGGATTTGTGTTGAAATAACGGATTGTAACATTTCTGCCGTCCACTTTAACAATATTTTTGCCTAAGACTAGCCATTTTGGTATTTTTATGAGATAATTTTATCGTGATATAGTTTTGAAAATTACTAACTTAAGATATTTTGGGTAAAAATGTGTATTTAATTTAATACTCCGTCAACAATCTAAACAAAGAATGAGGGCAGTATTAGTTCCATACAATTATTAAAAAAATGCTGGAAAGTTTTTCCGCATAAATTCTTAGTCCTATAATCAGCCAACTAACTAACTAGAGAATTCGTAATTTTTCAAAATTATCATCTTATACCTTGGATAATGTCTTTGGGTTGTCCACTAAAACCTATTTAACTAACGAATTGCTTTTTTAATTTTGGTGACTTGGTTTTTTTTTTTTTTGTGAGATCTAATGAGTGTTTTCAAACGATTTGAGCTAAATCCACTAACCTGCGATTGAATGAAATGTGTTTAATCATTTTACTGAAAAGTATGTAACGATCATTTGAACGAGCTGGTGGATCGATTTTTTTATATTTGATATCCTTTTAAGATTATATATCATTTATCTAAAAAATAAAAACAACTCTACATATTAGGCACATTTAAAATAATGTCGATGATATTATAACTAATCAGTGATGTATAAATAATATTTGTGGATTGATGGTGACTGTAATAAATAATTGAAGAGAAGATTGGTTTGGATGATCAGTAAAGAACAAAAAAAAATAAAAAAATAAGTATATATATTTTTATTTTTGCAGACGTTTTACCCCGAAGTTGAGGTCATCATCAGGGTTGATCAAACGAAAGGTTTACACAAGAAACCTTTGAAACCTTCCGTTTGATCAGCTCTAATGAAGGTCTGAACTTTGGGCCGAAACGTTGGCAAAAATAAAAATAAATGTACTTATTTATTTAAATTTTTTTTTGATTGATTACCTCAACCAATCTTCTCTTCAATAAATACTATTAGTGAATAAACAATTTATCTATATTAGAACGTTTTCGATTATCAAAAAATTACATTTCCCCCCATCTTTTAGGTATGTGATGTTTTTGGTTTAGAGAATTTATCTAATTTTAAAAACATTAAATAAAAAAAAAAGTGTACTGAGTAAATAATGAGGACTTTTAAAGATGTACTTAATTCACAAATTTTCATAACTATAGAAAATTTCAAAATATTAAGTGTGATAAATTAAAAATATGAAAATCAAATTAAGAGAGGTAGCTAAGTCGTATTCGTATCTACAGAATTTAGGTTTTAAAAAATTTATGGAAAATACTGAAATTCGAATTAACTAAATTCATTTAGGAATTATTTCTAATACTGAAAAAAAAATGAATGTTTATCTTTAAATAATATAAATAAGAAGAATCATTATAATATAGAGCGAAAATGATAATATATCCCGTCGTCTAGAGATATTTTTTTCAAAATGAATGAAATTATTACATCTGAAGAATATAACTTTTATTTCACTGTTATAACAAATATAATACTTATGTTTCACGTTATGGTATTTTATTGTTAATTGATTTTATTTCTTTTTATATTGTCGTTATAATAAAAAAATTACCTTGCTTTTCCCTGATACTGTTTTCGATCCTCCTCCTGAAACAAAAAAAATTGTTTTAATTACTACTTTAAATTAATAATACAAAGAATTACATTTTAGTGGGTTTTCTTTTTACATTTTATTCATTTTACTTGTAAAATTTAACTGTATTTATATTAACTAGACATTTTAAGGAGTTTAATTATAAACACATCCAATTTATTTATTTTTTATTTGATCCATAACATTCTGTTTTAATTTCCTGTATTAGTCAGTTCTATAAAAAAATGATAATGGGATCTATCAACACTTAGGCTTTGGAAATATCAATCGAATTGTGTGTTTAGTCGTTTAAGAATTACAAAAATATTATCGTGTACAGTAAAATATTGTTTAAAAGATCTTTAAATATGTAGGTAACCTAAAAATTAAATGGTACGTACACTCGGGGCTGGATATTATATTCCATTGCAGTTTATTTTATGGTTTACTTATCCTCTACCTCACCGCAACTACATAATTCGACTTCTTTCTCTTTTAAATTACAGTGGGCCAAACAAGCGGGACTAATATCTTGTCAAGTAAGCAGATGACAATGACAGATATAAAGGCACAATGCTGTTAGTATTTATAATGGCATCATTGCTATTGAGGTGAGCGAAGGACCGTGGGCGAAAAAATTACCGACTTCCGAGGACTTCTGTAAATCTCTTCAAAGATTTATCAAAGAAATTCTCACATTTAATCCTTTATATAGGGTGTCCCGTAGGTAGAGGGTTGATAGTAGATCTCAAGAGCTACAAAAATATTCATGTAAAGAATTGGCCAATTTCCAGCAGAAATGTAAGATTGTTTTTTTTTTTTAAGCGTCACGTTTTTTGTTGAATAGGAAGCGATAACTTAAACAAATATTTTATTTACGTAATTAAACATTACTCAGTAGTAAAATAGACAAAATTCACTTTAAATGGAAGTAGAATTTGTCATTGTTAAAACTATTTAAAGAGCACTATTGAGCGTACCAACACATCTATGTTCCGTTTAAAAAAAGTCATAAATTCATTGCATTTTTTTTTTTCTTAAACTATACTGCATTTATCCAAATTTTAGAAAAACTTCCTCGTTTAATAAGCTTTAATTCATATCAATTAAGTTGAGGATCATTGAGGAAAAATTTTGAGATTCACCTAAAGTTGTGTAAATAAATTATGTGATTTTCTATCGAGACACCCAAAAGTACCCCTCCCCCCACGTTTTCAGTAAAGATGATTACAATTAACTGTTAAAAAGCTATTATTTATTGCTTTTCGTGTAATGGGATATATTGTAATAGACATTAGTTTCCTAAAATACTATTCATTAAAAATAAAATTAAATAGCTAATGTTTAAATATTTTTCATGTAAAGTGATTATGGAATTGTGTTTTTCTCCCAGATTTCTATCATAGGAATTGATGTGTATTTATAAATGACAAAATTACAGTTTCTAGCCTTAATATTTAAGTTTTCGTGAAAATAATTTAAGCATTCTGTTGATTTATTTATTTTAAACCTAAATGTTAGTAAGAAACTTTAAGTTTGTCACTGATAAATACATTATAAATTCCTATGATGGAGATCTGGAAGAAAAACACAATTTCAAAATCACCTTATAAGAAAAATATTTTTAAAATCATTATTTTTAAATTTTTTAAAACAAAATATGTTTTTTGGCTATTATGTTTATTAGAATACATCCCATAACACGGAAAAACAATAAATAAAGGCTGTGCAACAGTTAATTGTAGTCATTTTTGTTGAAAACTTTTAGGTGACTGCAAAGAAAATCACTGCAGAAAAATTTTAGCTAATAAACCTCAACTTAATTAATATAGACTTAAAACCGTGTTTTCAACGACAATAACAAACTCTACTTCCGTTCTAAGTAAATTTTGTCTAGTTTACTATGGAGCAAAGCTCTATTACTTAAATCAAATATTTTTGGGTAATCGTTTCCTATTAAAAAAAAAACGTGACTCTCTTAAAAAAAACAAACACAAATCTTAAATTTCCTACTTTTCTGCTAGAAATTGTTCAATTGTTTATATGAACTTTTTTCTAGATCTAGATGTCTTCATCATTTTTCTTTTGTCTTGACGTTTTCATGTGAGCAACGTTATAAATATTTTCTTCTATTTACGGGACATACTGTATATTTCTTATACTAAGATCTTTAACGTTTGAATTAAAATATACTTCATTTCGTCCAAACAACTTGTTTTTTTTTTTGGCTTAAAAAACTATTTGATCGATTATATAATAATAAAAAGCGAGTAATTATACAAACATATCAGTTAAAAATAATCTATATCTCATTCACGTGCCTTCTTATGTATTTTCATTTCGATCTTAATGGTCTGCTTCATGACTTATTAATATTACGTGTCATATTTTTTTATTTACAGAATAATTCGTCGTGGCGTCCCTAAGCGCTTGAACTCTTCCGAAATCCAGGTCCTGGTAGATAAGAAAGTAAAGTCAATTAGTGAAAGAAAGTTGCTTCTAGGTGACATTTCAGACTGGCTAGAGAGACTCATTAGATTTTAAGTAACTGTACTGTGTGAGCTTGGATATATATTTTTTAATATTTCTTAAATTAAATACACAGGTTATTTACCTTAGGATGTTTTTTTTGTTTTTTTTTATAAATCATTTTATAGGTGACAGATAGGACTTCATTACCATTTCAGGTTTATATTGCCAACATTTCAAACCAAGGTTGTAGATTATCATCAGGCCATGTTACCACTTTGAATACCTTCGGTGTTGTTAACATGATGACCCATAAGCTTGGGTTGAAACGCTAGCAAAAAAATCTTAAAAATTGACTGCGTCCTTACGATTTATCGCCTATGATATGTAGAACAGTCGATAAACTTCCGTCAATAATTCATAAATTATTTTATTTTAAATCTTAAATTATAAAAGCTTTCGGTGTGCAGTATCATATTTATCTCCTTAAAATCCCAATACATTAAATTACAATATTAGCAATTTATTTATCGGACATAATTTAGTTATTGGCATGAAAACATAAACCATCTTATACTTTTAGTCTTTACTCTTTTTATTTAAAAATCAATAATGATCTACGTATGATTTGTTTGTATCTAAAATTGTTTTAATTAATTATTAACGTTATAAAATGGTATTATAGTATAAAATTACAAAAGAGGAAAAAAAATGAATAATTGAATTTAATAAATAAAATTAAAATTATTTTACTGGCATAATCTCTTTGGGAACTGTGGCTTCTGTTTTTCGTTATTTTATGGAGATAAACTATGGTGGTTTTAAATCAAAAGTTTGTGGAATTTTAACACGTAAAAAAAAAGTAATTTAAAAAAAAGATACTTTCCTTCGGCCAACAACTTTTGTTTAAAAAAAAAAAAATTAAATAGTTTAATTGGACCTAATAAATATTCCGAATTTTCCTTAAAAATTTCATAAGAATTTCAAAATATTTTTTTACGTGGACTTGGATGATAATATTTTATTGTTTAGCTCTAGTCTCCATTACCTAAAAATACGTACAACCCATACCGACACATCACCGTGGAAAAATTCCTCAAGAAAGTAGACCATGGTGTCCGCATGCATGCAAAGATGCGGTCAGTTACACCGACTGACGGCATAGAACTCTTCATAACGGCAGGTTGTGATTTAGTGAGCCTAGGTCCACTTGCTTAACAGAACATTCTTAATAGCTCGTTTAATGTTCCTTGAGCGCAAAGCAACTCACTTAGATCTTTAAAATCCTTGGAGCTACTCTATACGTGCGAGCTTCTCCATTATTGTAGATATTGAGGAGGTAGATTAGGAAATTACAGTAAGAAATGGGGGTAAATCCAGTAGAAATAAATGAGAGAGAATCCATTCACTGTTCCTTCTGATAGCGATTTTTTTTCGGTATCAAGATTCAAATCTTGTTACATTTGCATACCTCTCAAACTTTCCTCAAGGTTTACTAGATAAAGAATTTTACTAGATAATTCCTACCCAATCATTCTACTATGGTATGAAGTTATCTGTGGGTTTACTATATCTTACTATATCCAAAACTAACGACTATAGTCCTAACCAAATACCTGTGAAAATTATCAAATTCTACCTTCCAACCTTCATTCCTACACTTTTACACATCTACGATTCTCTCCTCCTAAATTCCATTTTTCTTAAAGCCTGGGAAAAATTCAGTGTCCGGCCGTTGAACAAAGATTCTGCGCCTTCATTAGCATCCAACTACAGACCCATTTCCATTTTATCCAAGCATCTTGAAAGATTAGTTCACTCAGAGTTGGATTAGTTTTTTTGAGCAAAAACGTCTACATACTACATATTATTTTTTTTAATACATTACATTTTTTTTTCTAATTAGTGAGTTATATTGGAATCGTGGTTTCACAGTCACTTCTTGGATTTGCAAGCTTACAATGAGTTTTAGCATTAGGCAAGAATAAATCGAACAGCCAATCGGAAAAAAACTATATTCGACGTTTTGCAAGAAAGAAATTGGTTCAAGATTCTGGAAATCGTTATCACACCACTCTTCCCTCTGAGACCCTTCTGTATTTATTTTTATTTTGATTTGTTTTATCTTATGAAAAAATTGTATAATCGCCCATGGCACGACTGGAACAAGAGGGAAGCCGAAACAATTAGGTGAAGAAAGTGCCCGAGGAACCATGGCATCGTTAATTGTCGTGCTCTGGTTAAGGGCTTTTTATTTCGGCCTTACAATTAATTTTCGAATATGATTTATAGTATTTAATTTCCTCGAGATCATGAGGACGAGAATAACTTTCAAATATTACCGTTATTGTTCTTAAAGGCTACGTGACTATTCTAGATTATTGGAGGCTAGTTAGAAAGTTTCTTAGTGAAAGAGTAACCAGCTTAGTAGAAATAGACTTTAAAATTGCTTTTGACTCTGTCGTAGTACAAATAATTTATTTATAAAAGTAATACTGAACGTTGTTATTACAATGGATGTAGCAGATAAAATGAATGCATGTAT